AGCTCATTAATGTGGCCATGACCTGGTGGGACGCAGAGGAGGAGAAGCTGCCTAGGCCGATTTCATGGGAGATATTCTGGGAGAGTTTCCTAGAGGCATTTTTTCCGAAGATAGCTCGTCTTGAGATGCAGAGGCAGTTTGTTATGTTGAGGCAGAGAGCTAGTACAGTAGATGAGTATGCAGCAGAATTTGCCAAGCTCAGCAAGTTTGCGCCGGGGATGGTATCGAATGAGGTGGATAAGGGACAGAGGTTCATGCAGGGTCTGAACTGAAAGTACCCTAAAGCCACTAGGAAGGAACCCTAGAGGGGGGTGGATAGGGTTTATGCTAATCTAATCCGATTTATGCCAATTTAAAACTAATTAACAAATATCCTAGCAAATATGATATGCAACAAGATATGTGCAAGGATAACCAATTAACACAAGAGTGAAATAAACATAAACAAGATAAACAAGATAGTGGGCAATATAAACAAGCACAAACAACACAAAATGATCACGGAGTTCGGACCTTCCGTCCTACGTCTCCGCTCTCCACTCCCGGGGAGAAATCCACTATCACACCGGGTTTTCAACGATCACCCGAAAACGCTTACACCACACAATATCGATTTTAACGCTCACCGATCAACGTCTACAATATCACAATGTAACTATACTAACTACCACCTCAAGTGTTGGTCTCTAGCCCGTGTCTCCCTCAAGTGTTAGGAATTACAACCTCTCTCTAGGCATTACCACCTACCACACTCCTCTTGGGATGACCGCGTCTCTCACCACACACTCCTCTTGGTGTACTAGTATATTACAAGGTGATCTACACAATTAAGCACAAATACAACAAGTTTGTTCTCTACAATAGATGAGAACTCAATGTAAGCTCACACTCTAAGTCACAAACCCACAACCCAAATTATACTATGAATGTAAATACAATAAGCTCAATAGGTTGTGTGTGAACAAAGAGATATAAATCAAAACTAAACTCAATGTAGTTCTAGCATAATAACAATGATAATCAAATATATAAAAGAGATAGAAATAGAGTTTAGAAAACTTCTTAATAGATCAAGAGGTTGAGGGAGGATGGTTGGATACTCAAGCACCAATAGGATCTCCTCAAGCTCTTGTGAAATTGATTTCACAAACCCAAAACTCTCAATTGCTTAAAAGCTTATAAAACACTCTTTTAAACAAACACAAAACAAGCTTAAATCCTTGTTAAACTCTTTTAAAATATTCTCTTGGATAAATCAGAAGTTAAAGGGTATGGGGTATATTTAGGAACCCCAAAGAACCAAGAAAACCCAAGTGAAAAGTCCAAAAAACTAAAAAACAGCTCAGCCAAAAACTAGCTGTTAAAGTGTTATGAGTCAACTCGATACTGTTCATGAGTCGACTCATAAACTAGCCGTTACAGGCCAAAAAGGCTCTGATGGGTCGACTCATATGTTTATGGGTCGACTCATAGTCAAAAACACAGTTATGCGTCGACTTCAAGTCGACTCATGGACTGTACAGGTTTTTGGCAGAGTCTGGAATTTTGCGTAGCTATCTTTATAAAATAAATTACAAATAGTAAAACAACTCCAAAAATTCTGAAATTTTAAAAGAAGGTTCTAAACATATAGGGTAACATGTTAGAAAAAGAATTTCTAAAAAATCATTTCACAGTTGAGATAAATAAATGTTTGAACACAGATTTACAGTTTCTTAAAAACTGCAGACATACACGATTTTGTAAAATCAATTAGGTACAGTAAATCAACTCAAAAAATAGTAAACTTTTTAGAGAATTTTCTAAACATGTATATAAACATGTCAAAGAAAGAATTTATTGAATATCACTTCCCATTTATGAAAACTCATCTGTTTTGTAAAACATGCACGAACATGCACGAACGAAAAACATGATTTTGTAAATTCCATTAAACATAACAAATCAATTCCAAACTTGATGAAACTTTGTGAAATATTTATAAACATGAAAACAAACATGTTAAAAAAATTATTTCTCAAATTGAATTCTTATTTTTGAAAACTCATGTATTTTGCAAGTATGTCCAAAACATAAAAACCCAAAACCATGCATGTATATATATAACTATATATATACATAGAAACCAAATACGTGTGTGTATATGATATTAAGCTTAAGGTACTTAACACACATAATATAAAACCTAACCTAGATTACCCAAGCCGATCTTGATCTTCAATAAGCTTGACTTGGTACACTTTGCGGATGAAGCTTGAACTTGATCTTTAACTTGAATTGTATGTTGCTTCACTCCACAATTCCGCCAACCTCCATTTGATATCATCGTTGAAGCGCTATTCCATCCATCCTCCAACATATTATTTGTCTAGAATAAATACAAAATAAAAGCACTAGACAAACAACATTAGATGTAAATTGTTTGTAAATCATCATCAAAACAAAAGGACCCAACAATCTCCCCCTTTTGATGATGACAAACAATTTACAAAAAGATGTATATGCATGAAAGGAAATGAATATACAAATTATAATTATCATGCATATAACCAAAACAAGATATACTCACAATATTTCTCCCCCTTTGACAACATCAAAAAGGGGAAAAACCATAAAGATGAAAGTGAGCGAAAGCTCCCCCTACATATAAGCATGGTGAGTATAAACAAAAGTAGGGAATGGCTCCCCCTATCAA